AGATGTGATCAGGCAAAGATGAGACAAAAACATACACAATTATAAAAAGATCATGTTTTTATTGTTCTTTCTACACTGAAAAAAAAAAGTGTGTTTGTACAGAAAGATTTCTCACATTCCTGAGAACACAGACCGATCACAGTAGATGTCAGATGGGCACAGGGGGTGGGGGGGTTATAGGGGGGGTTTGTGTGCACTCAATATCATGGGTTGGGGTCCTCACTAGTCCAGAAATGATTGATTCGGTTACAGTGGACAGAAAAGAATATTTCACACTCCTCTTCCTGAGATACTGAGATGTTGAAAACACACAAAAGACACAACGTAGTGGTTGCTTAAAAGAATTGAGCTTTAAGAAATGAATGTCAGTAGCACAGCATTTGAACAACAATCCTTCCCTGTTAGTTGACATATAACACTTGTAAGATTATGCTCACAGACATTTGTTTTATTGATTTATATTCCGAAGAGAATAGATATATTTCCCCTTCACCTCAGACCTGAGTAGAGCAAAGAAGAACAGCGCCATCTAGCTAAACACTGGACTCATTGCATCAGAGCAACAACTGTTCAATACTTTTCATTGAGGGATTTTTAAGTACAGAGAAAAAAAACTCATAAAAGATTATTTTAAATAGTATCTCATAGTATATGTTCATTGTCACAAAGCCACAGTTTAGGATGAAAGTTCTGTCGGGTGAAAATGGCTCAAAATAAAATGCTCATTAAATGTGCTAGGGATGGGCTTTTTATTCTAACATTAAAAGGTAGAAACAATTTAACAAAGGCTATATTTTATAATATTTTTACAGGACACACTCATGTGATTTTGTGTGGTTTTGTTAATCACTCATCTTTGAGGTTATATTCTGAATCAAATTAATAAATGGTGTCTACTCTAATCCCTGCTGTGTCAGCTAGGATAACGAATTAATTGGATTTTATGTAGAAATTTGGAGGACATGAGTTTTTGGAATCTAATGGATTTAATATATTTGAAAAATCAAAAACAAATCTGCACCATAAGGTGCAATTTTATATTAACTCAAAACAATTCAGTTTTTAATTCATTTATTTCTGAATGAAACAATAATATTGACAGTTTTACAGACCTATGGCCAATAACATTGTGAAATGTGAGTGATAAAATATGTAAGAAGTTCACAGTTAAATTGCAGATTTGCGACATAGAAATCAAAACATATGTTCCTGGTATTATCTCATATCAAAATGATACTGCTGGAGCTTATCACGCTTTACATGTGTAAACGTGACCAGTTACGTAACTGCCTCATCCTTTTGCTTGCTTCACATTTATTGGACATGTTTGTAAATATGTTTCACAATTTCCAGTCATCAGTAGTACACAGGAAGTGTTGTCCCAAAGAATAGATGTTGCTGTAAGTTTATAATAAATAACACATTTCATATAACACGTGTCCAGACAGTCTACCACAGGGAGACGTCACCCTGATCATGGATTTCTCGCAAACATCTGCCTGAGTTTAAATGTCCTCCACGCTGAAACAAACTTCACCATGTTCACCTGCATATTTTCTCCCATCAATGTTTTGTCCTTTAAAATAAACTACTAATGTTGCACTACATATCCTATCTGATCTGGGCAAAGATAAAGAACAAATATAAATGTCAGAAGATTTACAATATTATCCATCTACAATACAGAGAAAGTTTCCCTTTGTACAAAATGAATAAGGAGGTTAGCAATTAGTAAAAATTTGGCAATGGGAAAAGAATTATCTTTAAAATATAAGTTCTTCTTAAAAGTTTAAACAAAGATAATCAAGCTCAGGTTTCACTCATGCCCATCCCTAATACATACTCTTGTTAAACCAAATGTATTCCTATTTTGAAACCTATTTTTCTACTAATAGATATATACAACTTTGAAATATAATGTATTCTTTGTAAATATAGCGCTGTATATAAAATTAGAAAAGCATGTCAAATGAATTTAAGGGATAGACGCAAGCAAATGATAACGCAGACATTTTACAGGATCACCTCGCACCAAGGTATGTGTGTGGGGGGGTGGAACATGTTTCTTTAAAGTTACACAACATAACAGAAAAAAAAGAAAAGTTGAAATAATCAAGGTTTCTTGTGATTTGACCAACATCTGTTGTCTTCCAATTTATATGATGAAATTTGTTTTAATATGTTGCAATCACACAGGAACCATAACAAAACACAGAATAAACAACTAAATGGTTGCGTTGAAGGGTGTGATTAACTTTCATAACATGACAATTTCAAGATGTTTATTCTGCTGAGCCAAAACGTAAATGGAAGTCAAATGTACTTTCCTACATATCGGGCATCAACTCAGATTGTCTCAGGCCTGAATGTTCTGTGTGCTTTGAGCAGGGATTATAATCTATACCGGATGTGCAGAATCAGACGCTAAATACAACCATAGAGAAACAACTGTCCTGTTCAGCTCGAGTGGGTTTGTTAGTAGTTTCCTTTCCTCAAACCTTCCCTCAGCCAACTCATCTCACAACATGCCTTCTCTTCCGGAACTGTCTCAGCTTCCTCTTCCCTTTGTACACCGCGACAGAAACTCGTGGTGAAGGCTGACATGCGAGACTCTAAAACTACAAGAGGAAACATCATCACTTTCATCTCCCTTGTTGGTGTTTAACTTAACATTGGGCCAATTAAATTATTTGCTTTTCTTTATGATGTTGGTTTTAACTCCTGAGAGCTAAAGGCCATTAACTTTAAACATTTTCACACAGGATCAAATAAACAAAAAATCAAAAATAATAAACCCAACAAAAACCAAAACAACTTTAATTATTAGCTCAACAACCTCCAACATACATACCCTGACTAGCTTTAGCTTACTAATAACCATAATTTAGAAAGTGTTAAAAAGGACAGAAACACAGTTTTGGCACTACTCTACAAGGATCTCCTCAGTCTTTATGGATTCTAGCGGGGTGCCAGAGTTGGAAGCATCAGAGCCTTCATCTTTAGACAAATCTTCACGTTGGAGCAGCATTCCTGCGCCTGTGTTTCCCTGAAGTCCCACTAACCCCCCCTGGGTGAAGCACAGGTGCTTGATCACCTCATTGGGGCTGGAGAAGGTGGTTGCACAAATGTTACACTTATAAGGCTTTGATGAGCCCAAGAACATCGCCTCCATCTGGCTGCTGTCGTCTCCTGCGGAGCACAACTCCATGCTCTGTCGGTCCACCATGGTGTAGGTGTCGGCGCCCTGGTTGAGGCACACGTGGCGGGCTGCCTGGTTGGCGCGGCAGAAGCTCTTGCCACACGCGCTGCATTTGAAGGGCTTTCCCGTGTGGATGTACATGTGTTCGCGCCAGTGGCTCTTCTGGATGAACTTGCGGCCACAGGTGGAGCATTCGTACTTCCGCCGCTTCACCTCCCGGTCCAAGTCTGCGCTCTCCAGGTTGTCGATGTCCGCAATGTCTGACGGAGGGGGTGTGTCTGCCTGAGAATTCAATCCCCCCACCCCCCAGCTGGAAGTGGACACTTCTGCTCGGGGAGAGTCTGAGTTGGTGCCTGAAACAGGCGTTTGCTCGTTGTCACTGATTATCTCGACCGCTGTACTGGCAGCGGAGGCACTTGACCCTGGCTTGCTTCCCTTAAGGATTCCCTCTATCTCTAACATGCTGTGTTCTCCGGACATGACAGGTGAGAGTGTGTTACGGGACTCAGTCAGGGTCTGCTGAACAGCTAGGGTGTGCTGCAGGAGGTGCTCTCTCAGCAAGCTTCTCTGGGTGAATCGGCTCCTGCACATGTGACAGGAATAATGCTTTCTAAAGGAGGCGCTCCTCTTCATGATGCTGGGCTTTACATGAAGGATGGCACTGACCAAGGAACCATCTGCACTCAGCAAGTCGGCTCCCCCTTCCTCAGCCTCAGGCTTAGCGCCACTGGTCGAGGCCTCCATGTCTAGGGGCGAGGAAGCCAGCTTGGATGGCGAGGAGTTGCCGTACGAAGCTGTGACAGCGGGCGGGGACGGAAACTTCCCCTCTGACATGAGCGGATCGACATCTAAGGGAGAGGAGAGCTGCCGTCGAGTGGCAAGTCTGGCTGACAGCGCCACCTGCTGGTCAGAGATCTGGATGCCATAGAGGGAGGTGGAGAGGTTGATGCTTTGCTCGCGTTGTGAATACACTGACTGGCTGGCCTCCTGCAGGAGTGGGTAGGCATGCAGGAATCGGACTCCCTGCTCCAGCCGTGCAGGGTCTATCAGCTGGGGAGCAAGCTTGCCTGTGTACATCAGGTTGAGGAGGTAGCTGAAGATGTCTGGTTGGATGTCAGCAGCCTTTAGGCGCACACAGTCACTGAGAAGCAAACACATTAGAGTTAAATAGTGACAAAAGATTTATAATAAATGATTATTATCATGAATAAATCTGTTTGGATGCACTGAGTTCAGTTAGGAAACAATCTCCCACATTGTCAGGAAATAAAACAGATCTGTTTTAACTTTAATGCCTTTATAGACCCTCAGTTTGTCACCACAACCTAATCCACTGATTTGACCAATGACATTAGGTGTGGATTGTAAATCTAAAACGATTTAGATACACTCTAGTGCTAAAAAGTCTCTATGTTTGACAGCAAGAGTTTCATTGTTATTTCTGTGTTATCTGTGGTTTTGGTATCACAAATTCTAGTTGGGTTTTCTTCTATAGTGCTTTTTAACTTGATACTGAGCCTGAGTCTCTAACTGTTGCTACATTCTTCCTGTACCTGTCCTGGTGAATGAAGAGCATCCGGAAGTAGTTGGAGAAGGCAGCGAGGACAGCTTTGTGGGCTTTGAAGAAGACATCTCCTATAGCCACAGTGCAGTCGCACAGGAAGCCAAACTCCCTCTGAGCGTTAAGCTGCTGCAGCAGGATAAGACCATGGTTGGCCAACTCCATTCTTCAACCTGCACAAAGACGCACACACACATGAGCAACAGTGAGTTTCCTGTCTGGAAGGAGACCGGTTTATTGTGACCACAAAGAGTCGGGCTGACAGGGGTGATCTAACGACCTTGTAAAGACGAACAGAACACAATGGAGGGGAATCATTTTGTGACACTATAGACGATTTGTCTAGCTTTAATGTCATAGAAAGTAATACCAATTACTAGTATGGCGACAGAAAACGTTCATTGTATCGTACCAGTGAGCATTTGGACATGTTTTGTTTCTTAATGGTTATTAAGAGTTACAACAACTTCTAGGTTAGGTCATTTTCAACAGGAAAACAGACGAGAGTGAGATATTCTCGTTCTAAATATTATTAAGAGCACATTAGCAAACAGATGATAATCACAGTTTTCAGGCTGCTTCCTGTACAAGCCGCCTCACCACTTTTTTCCTCTTACAACAATTTCCAATATAACTTTCTCATAATTCCTGGGATGGATAAGATGAACACATAGAAATATGATCAGTGATAAATGATAACAATATGAGTAATTGAATAATTTCTCATATTAATTGTCAATGTCAAATTTCTAGAGCACGGTTACGGTGCCAGTGGTGTGGAATGAACCTCTAATGTGTCATTTGTCCCTGTTGCTGTGATATAAATAGACTTCCCCATCAGGGTATTACTGCTGCAGAGGTTGGCCACTAAATGTTAATGAGACACTGAAACATAAAGATATCATTATCTGTGCATGTCCTGATGCACTGAAAACACCACTTTGCGCGACTTGGAACTGATGGAGCCAAAACCCTCCACGTTCTATCTCAGTGCCTAAGAGCTCCACTCTGGAGACCAGTGAAATGGGCGTTGTTGACCTCAAAGGTCAATGAAGGACTACGAGGGCTTCAGGCCATCACATGATCAGGGGTTATGGGTGTCGGCACACATTCCTAAGGCAGAACTGGTTCGAACCCCCTTCCAGTTGAGAAAGGAAACAGCAGGGGTGAATCTCAGCGGGGGCAGTCTGTTTTCTCTGCCGCACAGAGGCACAGAAATGTGTAAAGACGGAGGACGACGACTTTATTGTCCATTTACCTCCAATAAATCATAATTCAGCAGCTCTGCATTCCTCTGCTGTGTATAAACACAGTCAAAAAGCTCACTACACATGTGTATTCCATCAGCGAGGTCAGAGTGCAAAGATGCTTGTACTACAGGAAAAGGATCATGTGGAACTCAGCAGCACTAAAGCACCCAGCAGCCCTGCTCCAGTCATCTACAACTTCAATATATACTCAGATGTCAGTTTATTAGGGACACCTATAGCTACAAATAACACAGCAATAAATCCCACATTCATTATCAAACTTATATTCACATAAATTCAATCTTGGAGGCTGTAGTTAGCAGTGCAGTTGAAATATATTGTGTTACACATAGTATTTTGTCCACCACTAAGGATAAACAAAATGATCACTGAAATTAAGAGTTGATTGATCAACAACTATTTTGATAATATATTATTTTATATTTTCATAAAATAATAGTTTAATTCCTTTTCAAACAAATATTTTCACAATCCTTTCTACAAGGATTAAGTACAGAACAGAGAAGCGAGAAAATAACTGGCAGAGGGATTGATAATACTACTAATAATACTAACTCTGTAAATATTACAAATATCTAAACACAACAGACCTAGATCTCTCTAGTTTTAACAAGAACTGAACATTACAACCTTCTCGATTTACTGAGTGTTAGTTTTATCTGTGTGTCCCTAATAAACTGGCAACTGTGTGTATACTCATCATGTCAGTGCTAAAGACCTGCAGACCCCATAACTCTCCATTACATATTATCCCAAATCTCAAATATTCACATTTAAGCAGCAGCCCCTGAACTGAACAATTAATCAGTCATCAAAATAGTTTGAAATTAATAGAACTACATTGTCCATGAAAGGCTTCAGTTTAGTGTTACCCCAGAAAACATGATTTGTCTCCTTGTCAGTCACAACGTCCAACATGATGACAAATATGTGCTCAAGTGTCACAATTTAGCCAAACACTATTATTTTAATGATAAATATGTTTGTTTAGTGGATCTGTGTTTGGCCGGTGAAGGTTAGCAGACTCATGACATATAAACAGCTCACATTTGAGTTTGATATATTTCCTCTCCACAGAAACCTCTCTGTGGCCAGCAGGGAGGACGGTGGTTTGTCTGATGTGCTGTTTGAATGATAAAAATTTGGTTTTCTATTATCTTTATCCACAGAACGTCCTAATGCTTTGTTTGGGGAAGACACAAACAGATCATACCTGTGTAAATATTAGTAATATGCAAAGATTAGGTTATTCACATGTGAGCCTGTGATCACTGTTGGTCAATCTTAAAAGTAACGCTACAACTTCTGCTTATATGCTTTTGTACGCAGACTTCTTCGTTCCAATGTAGATCTGATCTTTGAGACAAACACACACATAACACAAAGTATCGATCGGCCACAATCAGCCCAGTTTGAATTCACATGATCCACTAAGTTAGCCACGGCACCACGCGCTGATCAATACTAACTTGTTTGCAAGCGCTAAGCCCCGCCCCTGCATGTAGACACGTGGAACGGTCACTTCCGTAGTGAGACTTTGTGTTATTCAGTTATTCACCATTAAATCCGAATGAGCGCGGAGCGGGACGTAAACACGCTTCGGGAATACGAAGATGCAGCGATGCGAGCAGAGGAAAAACAGCAGTGGAGCGTAAACAGGCGTCTTTTTTTTTTACGGCGCAGGGAGCGCGCCTGCACCGACTGTCGGTTGCTAGTGCTAGCGGGAGAAAACGGAGGGGGCGCGCGCGCACACACACACACACACTGAGGGAGAGAGAGAGGCGCGGGGGATGGTCACAATCGCGTTTCCTTTAACTTCCACTGTGACGGTTACAGTTAGCGACAAAAAGCGCACACAAGTAGCCGAATAACGCGAACCAACCGGCGGGTGTGTTCGCTAACGGCGGCCGTACCTCTGCTCTCCGCGGAGATCCGTGGAGCGTCGCCGCCGTGTGTCGGGTTTTGTCACCGGGGACTCGTCCGTCTTCTCTGGGCTCGCAGCAGCAGCTTGTACCGCTCCTCCTCGCGAACGCAGCATTCGTCGGCGGCGGAGAGGGTCGTCCGTCCGTCGGTGTTTTCCGGTTTAGGGGTTTTACGTTACAATCACAAGACTGAGGGTAGAAAAAAAAAAAAAACCACCAGCCCAGAAGAAGCAGCCGTTGAGCGGAGGGCGGAGGAGGCAGAGAGAGATCCGCTGCTGCAGCTTCACGACCTCCGGAGAACATTACACACCGAGGCGACATCTTTATTTCTGCTGGAGTTCACTGAGATAACACTTTATCACGATTCTGTCTGTACTCTTCAAAACTTTACGGGAAGGTCACTTCGCTTCCGCGGAGCTGCTGTTTCAAGGACCATTTAACTGCCTCTAGTTCGTTTTAGTCACACGAATATTATATGAAAAACGACATTATTATTATTAAATTACATTTTCCATTTTTTAATAAATCATGAGTAATAAATTAACAACAGACCCGAAAGAGTTGTGTGATATAAAGAAAAAAATTAAATTCAAGTGGAAAACAAACTTAGATAAGAATATGTGTGTATTGCTGTATCAGCTATTATATAGTTTTTTAACCATTTTACTATTATTTGGATATGTTGTTCATGCATACCTGTATTCTGATGATTCTTTCAGTACACAAAAAGTGACCACAATGTTAGATAGATAATTAAAAGTGTATACTTGTGCTTTAAATGTAAAACAATATGAAGGACAGGTAAATGATACTTTATATTTGTAGAGTTCATATTTTTCATTTCTTCAGCTTTGATTTATTAACTTTTCAAGCAGCTGTTTAAATGAACGGGGATAATAGCAGAGAGCCGAGTGATGCGAGGAGGAAAACTACAGTACTCAACACCAGTATACAGAAACCTGTGTTCCCCCTCCCACACCACATTCACTAAGACCTTCGCATATTTCCAGTGGTAGACATTATCATAGACCTTCTGTGGGCTGAATAACCTTTAATAACCCAGTCACACCAACAGCAAACATAATTTGTTGTGGTCCATTGCTTTTGTGTGAAAGGTGTTATTACCCCTGCTTGTTACAGTGATTATTTTGTGATTGCAACAAAGGCTTGCCTGTCGAAATACGGGACAACCACAATGAACAGTAATAATTACCAGAAATGGGGACGAGTGGGGATTTTGGAAATATGAGTTTCACCACATACCAGCTGGATGTGTAGAGGGGCCTTTTTTCACCAATGCACTTTGGAGTCACGTCAATATTTCGTCATCAGATTTTGTCATCAGTGAGTTGTTGGATGTCGACCCAGTGTAAACACAGTTTTTCTTTTTTCTCCTCCCCTAAACCAGTCATTACAGAGATGCATTTCAGCCTTAGGACAGGGGGTCCACAGAAGGGCCAGACTAAAGCCAGTTGTAGCTCTCTGACGATGCTTGTTGGTTGTGTGGGTGGAGAGTGTGTTAAGGGAGAGGAAAGACATGGGAGGGGACGGACAGGGCCTGGGGACCTTTAAGTCTCTGTGCCGTCAACAAACAACTAGACCTGATCCCGTCCTTAACGTTAACTGAAATTACTTAGGTAATAAAAGGCGAGAACAAAATGTTTCACAAACAAAACATCGATTGAGACCAGTGGTAGATGGTATAACAGATGATGAGTGATAATGTTCTCACTTCAGAGTAATCCTTCTTTCTTATATCCTCCTCATCTCTCTCTCTGGTTTCACTCTTCTCAGAACAGCTTATTCAAAAGAGATGCAGGCTCGACTTTCACATGACTGCCCAGCCACAAATTTCCATTTAATTGATTTTTCCTGCACCAATGCATATTCAAATCCATCAGCACAAACTGTGTGAGATTGCTGAAAACGTTATAAAAGAAGTGCAGTGAAACTTGCGTCCGATTTGGTTGATCCTGATGTCAGTGCACCACTTCAAGCGACTTCTCACACATGACATATTCAGTCCTTCATTTGAAATGCTATGAGAAAGCTTGCTGCTGCTGCTTGTGCTGCATGAGAGGAGTGCGTGTGTGTGTGGTGAGCTCAAACACCTGTTTAAACAGGGCCTGTAATCGTTAACTGCCGCCCTGTTCGTGGCCTGTTTTGAAACCGGAGTGGTGAGTCATTCCTCGCTCGGTTTTCAGAAAAACAGATCCGGCCGCAGGCTGGGGGCCCCGGCGGGGGGATGGGAGGCCGGTGGTGGATGAACAACCGGAGGTGGACGCAGCTGGACTCCCACTCCCAAGGACCCCACATCCTGACAAAGGCCTGTGTTCCCATAGTGACCGGGGCTGATCTAAGAGAGAGAGAGAGAGAGAGAGAGAGGAAGGGTATAAACACACCACCAGAATCAACCGGTATGCGTATCTCTCCAGCCCAGTGGCCAAACCGTGGGTGTTGCCAATCAATTGGTCATATTCTTCAAAAGAGGAAGGAGTTGCAGTCCCGGTTCCTCTTCCCCTAAAATGCACCGTAAACTCTGATGCCTGTTATTTTGTCATGGGTCAGGCCTTCTTCACACTGCCCCTGTGTGTCATCATGTTCCCAGGCCTTAAAGGAGTGGAAACAAGTTAGATGATTCAGAATGATCCAGACTGGGGGGTGAAAAATTTAAACAAAAAAAGACATAGTGTACTAAACTATATAAACCCAGGCAGTGATAAACTTGATTACACAGTTCACACTGTGTGTTTGTACCTCTTTATATACAGTCTATGGTTTGTACTCATGTATATTCGTTTTCAAACAGGGGTCCCAGCCTAAGCAAAGCCAAACAGTTTTGACCCAGATTTGACCCACATACATGGCACTTGGGCGATCCGCTCCTGTTTGCCAGATATGGGCCACATGTGGGCCACAGCACAACCGCAGTGCATGTTTACCAAAAATGGTCTCGGGATATTTTGGCCACATTTGCTATGTTACAGGAGGGCAACTTGAGTCTCACGTCCATTTTATTGGTGCCACAAAGAGGCCAGAAGTGCTGCCTGAAGTGGCCAACACATGCTGTTTGGGGGGAGAAACCATAACACCCCCCCTCCCCTCGTTTCCCGCCAAAATGCATTATGAGAGTTGGGGGTGGGGGTGAATGAATGTCTCCGTGACGACCGTTGCCCCGGACAACGAGGGATGCTGCAGCAGCGAAGTTGTGCCCCAGCTTCATGCTCCTCAGACGGATTCACTTTGAAGTCTGCGCGTGGACCGCAGAGAGCGTCACAGGGAATCAAACACGGTGCGGTGCAGCATCTCTGGAATATAATCGCAGGCAGCGACAACACACGCCACATGCCCGACAGTGCAGTTTGCGCATTGACCGCTGGGTGGTAGCACCGCGTCCCGAATGACACCTGAACTCCACCGGGAAGCAGGAAACACATGTTAATGTTATTATAAGTGGAATCAGAGGAAACTGAGCTGATGTGATTATTTTTCTTTGCTGCGTCACGTCCACGGGAGGAAAAAATCATTTCACGCCGCAATCACGTCACTTTGCTCCTGTCGTGGAACTCTTGTATCAATAAAGTTTCAATTTGAACCGTCTCCTGCTGCAACAACAATGGCGGCCGACCAGTGTGTTCACGGAGTTCCTCCTTCGCTGTCCGCTAAAGTGGTTGGGTATGTTGACAGCTGGTTTAAACACAACATCACCACGTTAAATAATATGTGTGACAACACTGCTTTATTAAAAGGGCTGTTTAACGTTAGCACTGTCGCGTTTAAACCGACACTAGCATTAGCTCTCTGCTAGCATGCTAACACGTTTGTTGATGTTAGCATGTAGCTTTTTTACTGTCAAAATGCCTGTACAGCAAGGGCTAACCAGCACCATGCTAATTCGCTGCTTAGCTTAAAGAGAGGAGGCTGTGCTTTGTTAACGACTGCTTCCGTTCTCTGCAGGTCATTTGCTTATTTGACCATAAGAGACAGGCTGCCCACCATCCTGACTAAAGTTGTAGACACGATACATCGCAACAAAAACAAGTTCTTTGAAGAATATGGAGAAGTAAGAATGGCGACATCCAGAATTACAGGGTGCATGTCGAAACTTTCCCTTAAACGCATGTGTTTCTGTCTTCGTGTCCATACAGGAGGGCATCCTGGCAGAGAAGCAAACGATAGGTCTGCTGTCCAAGCTGAGGAACGAGCTTCAAACCGACAAGCCAGTGTTGGCATTGACAGACAGCCTGCAGGACGCAGAGTCCTGGAACCAGTACCTGCAGAGACACCAGGGGCCGCAGGGGGACCCGGAGTCCGTCAGCTGGTTCCAGTCTCCATGGCTTTATGTGGAGTGCTACATGTACCGGAGGATACAGGAGGCCCTATGGCTCAAGTGAGAGGCCTTAACATCTGTTATATGGATCTACTGCTGGTCTATTTACAAAATCAAATGATGTCAGTCCCATTGCACTAGACAGTAATAGTAATATAAGATGATTGGTTATTAAATACTATGTTATAATCTCTATGGACCGTAACTACCAGTCCTTAAACCAAGTTCACATTTTAAATTACTGTCACTTTCAAGTAGTGTTAAAAAATGATCTGAGGGAAATAATCTGAGATTCAAGAACTGCTTTCTCTCTCTCACTTGTCCATAGCTCATTCTTGCAAGCAACTATATACATACAGTATTTTTGTATTTGTTGTCACTTAATACTGAAAATCGATTATTATTCTCATTATTACAATATCCAAGGAATTGCACTAAACACGACAACATTTCTGAAATGATAAAAATGAAAGTGTCGAGTTATTACCCAGCCATAGGAGAAGTAAATTCAGTTTCCATCTCTGTTTATGTTGTGTTGTAGTTCTCCTCCAGTCATGATTTTATTTCTGCTTTTATTGCAGTCCTCCCATCAGTGACTACGATGTCTTCAATGAGGCAAAGACTCAGAGCTATTTTGAGTCGCAGCAGGCAGTAATGGCCTTGTGTACATACTGGGAGAGTGTCAAAAAGAGCATGGAAGAGCTGTCTAAGAATCAGCTGCTTGACAATTTCAACAAACTACTGAAGGTAGGTATCTTAAATACATTCCTAATAAGATAATCCTTTATTAGCCCCCAAATGGGTTAATTTGTTATGATTCACAGAAAATCATACAGAAAAGCATTTGAAAACTGTAGATGTTCTACAGATTATATTATTCAACATGAACTGATTATTCAACTTTCACATTTTTTTTTGTCTCTGTCTAGGTTTCTCTGTGGGGAAACAAGTGTGACCTGTCCATCTCTGCAGGCCAAAATAACTCACAGAAGACCAGTCCATTAGATTCCCTCAGCAGCCTACAACCATTCATCTTGGTGGACGACTCCAGCATGGTATGGTTGAGTCTTATTTCTGCCCAAAGACCAGGACTGTCAGGAAAAATCACTGCAGGCAGAGTGGACATTGTACTAGACAATGCTGGCTTTGAGTTAGTCACCGACTTGGTCTTAGCAGATTTCCTGGTTTCCTCCGGCCTCGCACGGGAGATCCATTTCCACGGCAAATGTTTCCCGTGGTTTGTCTCTGACGTCACAGCTAAGGATTTTCAGTGGACCATCCAGCAGACCATGGCAGCCAATCACATGTGGATGTCCAAGAGTGGTGTACAGTGGCAGAGCTACATGAAGGAGGGTGTGTGGTCCTACCATGACCATCCTTTCTGGACACAGCCCCATGAGTTCTGCGACATGGCTGCTGATGCTCCTGACTTGTATGCGACCCTGCAGGGGGCAGACCTGGTGCTGTTTAAAGGTGATCTGAACTACAGGAAGCTGACGGGGGACAGGGACTGGAACTACACTGTGGGCTTCAAAACTGCACTCCAAGGTTTTGAGCCCGCGCCACTTTGTAGCCTGAGGACTCTCAAAGCTAACGTCCAGGTCGGTCTGCAGCCAGGCCAAGGGGAAAAGCTCACCTCTCAAGAACCAGACTGGATGACTTGTGGGAAGTACGCTGTCATTCAGTTCCACAGCCCAAAGTCAGAACAGTAAGACTGTACACAGGATGATCTGAGGAAGATCTGGATTCATAAGGACGTTACAGTAAGCAGGAGATACTTTTAAGCCATAAGACCATTAAGTTATAAGAGGTTGTTAGATGGTGTCTCTGTTCCTCATCGTCAGTTAGCACTTCATCATGTTTGATACTGAAATGAACAATTACTTATTTTGAATACACATTTGTACCAATGTAGACTTAAAATGCAAGCACTTTTGGATCTAAATGTTTATCTGAGGTAACAAATTGAGTTAAAAAAAGAAAAAGCGAATAGCTTCTGTGTTGTATTAGCTCACACTGCAAACTGGTTAATGTAGATGTTGTTACCATTGGCTGAGTTGCAATAGAATAAGCACTGGGTTTTTTAAAATCCTTGTTCTAGAGCAACAATACGAGTTTTTGCATGCTAATTAATGAGTGACGATAAATGTTAAATATAATTATTTTCTCAGGTTGTTGTCCTCAGTGTCATTGATATGCATGCATCAAAACATGCAGACATCTGTTTAAATTCACCCAGATCACAACAACTGATATGTTTTTCTCAGTTTGAAGGTTGGTAGACTGTTATTAGGGCAGTGTAACAATTACAGTAACAAAATGTTCTATTTTTGTGTGTCTATTTTGAACCCAGACCTCAGTATCTTCTCCGATAAAAGAGCATTTCTCTGTGCACGCTGTTTTGTCATTCAAATGCTCATCGTCAATTTAGTCATCTCCTCAGTGCTGCTGGGGGGGGCTCATATCACCTTCATTAACACACTTGATTTAATAAAGAACTGCAATAACTGGTCTTCTTTCCGCACTGTCCTATTTTACAATGAGAAATGGAAAATTTGTTTAACAACAACTATTTTCTTATGAGTAACTCTTTGGCCTCAAAATGTGACTAGAATGGTTTTTCTACTCCGACAGTTTATAAGTCTCATTCAACTTTCATTCAACAGTATATTTTTTCACATCCATATGCAGCTAAATATTGTGAACCGATGGACTTAAAACTCTGCATCTGTACACAGTGAAAACAATATGTTCAGATGGAGTGTGGCTTTTTATACCGACAGTTGTTGTTACCTGTCGACCTTTCATTTAAAGGTCAGGTAGGCTCTGGATCAACAATTGGGAACGTGTATTAAAATCCCGGATGAGCTGGTGAAACTGAACAACTGCTGCTGAGCCTTGTAAATGCGATCTGTCAAGAAAATGAAGGCAATTACTGCAAGAAGCATTTGAGCCATTGAGGTACTTTGCTGTTTCATTTGCCACCCTCCATTTTTATGTGGTCTAATCTAACAGTGTCTTCATGTTACTAAAGGGTGGGTGGGATGCCAAAAAATATATATATCAGCATTAGGGATACTTGTTTTCCACTTGACCTGACATGTCCTCAAAATTGGGCTGTTTACTCTAGAAAGATGTTGCACAAAGGCAGGTAAAATGAAGCCTCTGTGCCAAATTTCCAGCACAAATCAGTGTGTCGGCTAAGAGTAACACAAGAGTGAGTAGATTTTTATTCAAATATCGCAATTGTTTTCTTGAGATTTTCTTTGAATTTTTTATTTTCACATTTTATTTATATTATTTTATTTAGGTATTACAGCTCACTTTTACTTTGATGCCTGGTCCCACACACACAGGACTAATAGCATGCTTGACAATAACAAACCAGAAACTTAAAATGCCAAAAACATAACACTGATTCCCGGTCAGACTTTATTTGTATAAATCCTCTGCCCCTTTGCTTCCATTTGTTTATATACACTCTTCTATTTCATCACTGACTCGACCTGATGAAGTAATGATTAACTGGTCCACATTGTGATTCCTCAACATACACCCACCTCTTCTAATCAGTTCTTTTCAACCTCTTTATTTTATTTGTCAATTTCTTCACAGATGATATAAAAACATCAAATTAAATCCATGCAAAGTCAGATTAACTAAATCCTCTTATTTGGGGTTCATTGTGTAATTATTGGCTGATAGAACTAGATTTGACCTCCTGCTCTGTTTGCTGTGTTACTGTGACCTGGCGCTTGAATGCACCTCAGTTATCGATTTGGCTGCAAGTTTAATTTGCTTATCTTCTTTTTTCTAACCTTTCCTCGGTTCCCATTGTGTTCAATGAGGCCAGCTCGATGCCTGAGAGTCAGAGTGATGAGCAGAGGGAGAGAGAAGAGTCGAACAGTCCTGGTGTTGCACAGCAGACACGAGGACGACTCCTCGAAAGAGGTGAGTATCCGTCGTGGCAGAATTTATCTTTTTAGCCCCTGTTGTTAAAACCCACCGTCCTAATGCATCTCATTTCCACAGTGATTTGATTTACTGCAGAGTCTCAGGTGTATTCGAGAAACTGGCCACAAATAGACTGGTCGTACGTCATGTTGGTGGCTTGCATCAGCTAAATGAATGATAAATATTCAGAGGCAGACTTGCAGCTAGTTTACAGCTCTGTTTTGGAGATATCGGCTGCAGCCAGCCCAAGCTTTTCAATGCCAGGGAAAGGTGAAAAAGGAGGAAAACATTTTTATTGTGTCGTGTTAGAGGACAAGAAGTTTTTTTGGGGGAGAATCACTATTTCTCTTTCCCTTTCTCCCCTTGGCCTCACCTTCCTCCTGCACATTAGTAAAGATGTGTTGCAGGAAAAGATTGAAAGGCTCTGTGAAGGCTGTTGGGAGGAGTCTTTTTATGGTGTCTTTTTTATCTTGCTTTTTGGAGTATGCCTGGTGGAAACTGAAGGCAGGCAGGGCAAAGGCACTGGAAAACTAGTGGACCCTTCAAGTTGTCTGACAGGCTTTATTAGGAAAAAAAAAAAAAAAAACATAAAATACATATTTATGAGAAGGGCTATCCAAGGCAATTCAACTCCAAACCATTGACAGAGAGCTTACCGAATCAAAAAAAAAAAAAAAAAGGAAAGACAGAGCGAGGGAGAGCAGCACTCATCTCCACTCCCCCTCCCAGCAAGAGAAAGCAAGTCTAAATCATGTTGCTTATCAGTGCTGTTGTGCTGTGATGTTGCTCAGGCAGAGCCCAGCACAGAACAGGCAGCCTTGTGTACCAGCACTCTCAGACCTGGAGACACTCACCCCACCGCGTGCCTCCCTCACCGACATGTACCCAGAGGAGAGCCGGGGGTCCGGAGGGGCAGCCACTGTGGACTTCCTGGAAGGGACGTACGACTACGCAGCTCCCACCCCTGCCCAGACTCCCCTCTACAGCCACTCCACCTCTGGCTACTACTCTGCTCCTCTGGATGCCCACGGACCACCCTCTGATGGGAGCCGTCATTCGCTGGGCAGTGGGCCTACCAGTCCTCATGTGTACGTGCCCTCCAGCCCTCGACTCAGCCCCTTTATGCACCCGCCCAGCCACCACTATCTGGAAACCACAGCTACATCTGTGTACAGGTGAGGGAACACATACTTTCTTTATCTCTGGAGTGTAAAGTGTAGAGATTGAATCAACAGATATGAATATTTCCCAAGACTGTTTTAAAAAAGTGAATATTTTTGCTTATTGCATCCAAATTCAGTGCTGTAACTTTAGGAGGTTAAATAAACTGTGAGCAAAGTCACCTCCAGGGTTCGACTCGGATAGTTTGGTGAGTTGTTTTTGTGCTGTGGTGATTTTATAGCTGATATGAGCAGTGCAATTAAAATCTCTCTTTTTTTTTCAATTCAACCATTGTGATCCATTAGGGAAAAAACACATCAGTGCAGTTTGTTTTGATTAATTGATGTTTATAGTTCCTGAATTTATTTATAGGCTCTAGGACACAATACTGCTCCACAGCTCGGTTTAATTAGGCCTTTGGCACCTTGTTCAGTCCTCAAAAAACAAAATGACATAACCGCGTTGTTTTTTTGTTTTTTTATCTCACATTTTACACATTACCATTATCTCTATAGAAAGGATCAAGCTTTGCCCTGGTTTCTAATTCCAGAGATTAAGGACTTTGTCAAGGACCTTGAGAAAGGAACAATACGTAAGGACAACACAAGTACAGATTGTTTCCTGGCTCAGGTGGCATATAGCAGTCTGCTCTCCTCTCACCCACCGTCAAATTAGTGGTAAATGTCAGAAATTATCTCCACTTAAATGCTCCACTCTAACCTCTTCTGGTGAAGTGTGTTCATAGAGCATTTCTGACAAAACATCCAGCTCTATTTCATGCTTGAAAAATAACAATTCTTCATATTCCTGGATGTGCATTGATAATATCACTTCACGGAATTATGAAGTATTGTGTGAAATGACTTGGGAGGAAATCTGTGCCTTGGTACAGGTCCAGTCAGCAGCCAGTAACCAGAGAGGACCACTGTGGCCCCAGGGACGAGTCCTTCAGTGTGGGGGAGACAGGTGCTGCAGCTGGAGCTGAGGGATTTGAGATGGCTAAAGAGACACGTTTCTGTGCCGTGTGCAGCGACTACGCCTCCGGGTACCACTACGGGGTGTGGTCCTGTGAGGGCTGCAAGGCCTTCTTCAAGAGGAGCATCCAGGGTAGGAAGAGCAGAGGTGGATCGAAATCATATGTTCAACAAGTGTTGTTTGTTTGTTAAAGATCATTTCCTATTCTGTCTTAGTTTAGGGTTTAAAATGATATCTATATCTCAAGCTCTACTAAATAAAATTGAATTAGAGTAAGAAATTCCCACAATTAAATTATGTCTTTACTGCATCTCTTAAGGAAATCAAAATACAAAAATCTTTTCCAACCAATTTTATTTATATAAATCAATATCAGAAATCACAGAAAATCCAATAGTGAATTTCATGATTTAGTTTTATAATATAGTTAAGACGTAAAATTGAGTTAATCTGGAAAATGTGAAAATGAAATAGAACTGGTAAAATGAAAGTTTGGTGATGGTTTATTTAACATCGCAGCTGTTTATTAGATGAAAGTGACCTGTCAACCTCGACAGAGAAATAACCAATAACACTGGAGCTCGATGGCTGTCGTATAAAAAGAAAGTAAAAAGTGTCATAAAATGTGGCGCAAATGATGTGAATTACTGTTTCAAATTAGTTTTTATTATTATTTTCACTCAGCCTGAGAACCCCTTTTCTGTCTTGTGTCACATACACCGTGGTTCACGTCCTCATGCACCTCTGCCTCGGTGCAGAGTGAAGCCTCATCTGCTGAATCAGGTTTGTGATATGCTGCCTCGACTCATCGATGCAAAGTCTTGCAACGGGAAGACTTGTCATAAAGAAAACCAGTCATCTCCATGGCGATGACAAAGCCAAGATGCCTCCATCTCAGATTAATTTAAAAATGGGAATAGAGTGTCCCCGGCTACTAAATAACCTAAATCCAAACCCAACACTGGAGCGAGGAGCTCTGAGTAATAGATTTTCTTCCATTTCAGGTCACAATGACTACATGTGCCCGGCAACCAATCAGTGCACTATTGACAGGAATCGGAGGAAGAGCTGCCAGGCCTGCCGTCTCAGGAAGTGTTACGAAGTTGGCATGATGAAAGGAGGTAGGTAGAAACATTGGCAGAATTGAGTTTTTTTTAAAAACAAGTGAAAAGTTTGGTTTTTAAATTTTCATTTTTTAAATCAAATTTGCTTATTTAATTATTGGTCAACCTGTTGCTTTTCCTTTTTTCCTTTCTGGTTCTAATATAGGTTTTTCTTTTCTGCAGTTATATCTTTAAATAGGCCAATAATTGAACGACTTCCTCTTTGTAAAATGTCAAACGAATTGCCTCTAATCAATCATAGCGTGTTGAGAGGATTGGCACAAACCCGAGAGTTCTGGTGGATGCAGATAAGCTTGAGACTAACTTTAACTTGACCTTGAAATGATTTCCTCAGAGTTCAACCACTCATTAGCTCACGCCCACATTCTTCTTCTCATACTTCTTGTCTCCCACAGGCTTCTGTATACTCCACACGACTGGGTTTTATGGCAGGAGCAGGATATGAAGTGTTTGGGAGTTGGTGTGCGATTGTTTGCATGGATACTGTTTTTTCTATGAATCTTATTTTGTATGAAACCTCTGCTGCGTCTTCAAGGTGTGCGTAAGGACCGCAGCCATGTCTTACGACGTGACAAACGACGAGCTGGGACTAATGACAGAGATAAGGCCTCTAAGGACCAGGACCACAAAACAGTGCCCCTCCAGGATGGGAGGAAAGGCAGCAGTAGTACTGCAGGAGGAAAATCATCTGTCACGGCGATGCTGCCTGACCAGGTACTGATTCATGTGGAGACAGTGATATGTGATTTTGTCTACCATTGTTATTGTTGGTCAGGAGGAAATCTGGATGTGAAAGAGGCACCAGAGCGGCCGTTCCACCAAGTTTCTTGACGGCTGTTAGTAGTCGAGGAACGTTTGTTGTCACTTTAAGTCGGTTTTGAGCAGCACATCAATGAACTCACGATGCAACTGTGCATCTATTGCTTTTTCCAGGTGCTCGTCCTGCTCCAAGGGGCCGAACCCCCCATACTGTGCTCACGTCAGAAGCTGAACCAACCCTACACTGAGGTCACCATGATGACCCTGCTCACCAGCATGGCGGACAGGGAGCTGGTCCACATGATCGCCTGGGCCAAAAAGCTTCCAGGTATTTCATAGAGGAATCAAAAAGTAGACACAGCTACTGTTCTAATCCTCTAATATCAAACATATCCTGGCTGTAATGTGGTCTGCAGGGAATTGCTTACAATACTGTTGTGTCATAAATAGAATAACTCTTTGTCATTTCCTAAAATGATCATCTTTTGCACACAATGACTTTTTATCATAAGAAAATAACTTTAATAAAACTACAACTGCACGTGGTAAAAATAATCTACTGCTGCCTTAAAGCTAAAGGCAACATAACAAAATGACACATCACCATCAGAGTCTTTTTCAAATATTGTCTGGACACTCATTTTTCATTTCAGCATCTGACAAAATTGCAGCAGTTCTGCTGTCGATTGCAAAAGAACTAGTTAGATTATTATCATGCGTGTGATATTTTCTCTCCAGTGTACTCCAGTGTAGACAGCTTCTGTCTTTTTTAAAGTACAAAGTACATTAGTGTCTGATTCCACTGCACAAATAATAAAA